GTACGTATCATTCAGTGAATAGTGTCATTGCATGACACGATCAACCGAGTCACGTGATTCAACACCCAACACACCATGGAGGCTGCCCAATACTTCGGCAACTCGAAAAGAAAGCAACGGTGGGTGCGAGCTCCAGGCGCAGCTACAACGACCTCTCGACAGTAACCACAAGCGCTGACCATTCGAATACGCCATAGCATGCTCTACTCTCTTCTTCTGCAGCAGTCCCTCGACGTTGGTGTATTCAGGTGCAGCGAGATCTGTATGCAATACCGCCGAGTTTGACAAACTGGCTCAACACGGGTTCTGTGTCTCGACAATGGTGGATGAACGTTGAATTGATACTATCAAGAGAATACATGAATCAATGACCTTGATAATAGGTTGATAATATAGCAAAAAACCAACAATTCATTCAACTGGTAAAACAAATGTTGCTCGGAGACACGGTGCGACGAATGTCATTTGCCAAACGATCCGAAACATGGCAGCAACCTTCACCAGTGTCGTCCTCGGCCAACCCGAGTTGGCCGCCATCATCTTTGGCTACCAGGCTGGTGTCTCCGAAGACGTGCGCCCAGCTTTCATCGCCTGCAAGCAGCTCCTCGAGTTTGATTCTAGCTCTAGCATGTATTGGCAAGACGAATCCTTCCGCGAAACCTTTGCGCCGAACGCCGTTTGGTCCCATGACCACGAAATGTTCTTCTGTTACCAGTACGCGCTGCGCAGAAATGAGATCGACGCGCGTCTGCCATTGCATCTGGCCATCACCGAAGGGTTCACGCATTTAACCAAGCGCATTCTTGGCTGCCGACCGGACCTCGCGTCGGAGGACGCCATTATTTTGGCTTTTCTGAACGACCACGTCGAGATTGCTGAGGTTTTGCTGGACGCACGTGCGACAAAAGTACCAGAGCTCTATCGGCGCGGCGTCATCCAAAGCGACAAAACAGGTACGCGCATGGTCTTATATGGATGATCCTCGTCGGTGACGTACTATGGTGTAGGAGATTTGTCGCTGTTGAACTCTGCACACATCGAGTACTAAAGCAAAATGTTGGCTCGAAACGACTCGAAGGGCATTCGTTTGCTCGAGCGCTTTGGCCCGCGCCCCGATGACTTTTCACAAATATTCCGCCGGAACGCGTACAAA